ACGAACGAACGTACGTACGTACGTACGTACGTACGTACGTACGTACGTACGTACGTACGTACGTACGTACTACTAACGTAACTAACGTAACTAACTAACTAACGTAACGTAACGTAACGTAACGTAACGTAACGTAACGTAACGTAACGTAACGTACGTACGTACGTAGAGAGAGAGAGAGAGAGAGAGAGAGAGAGAAAGAGAGCCTTAATTGTGTAAAATGTGTTATAGAGAGAGAGACAACAATTGATTGTAACTGTGTACGTGCGTGCACTGCGGCAAACTGTACTAAAGAGAGAGACTGAGCCAGACTCAAAGACTCTAGAGAGAGAGAAGGTGCCACTATGCAGAGATAGACCTGCACACTCAATTGTGCAAAAGAGAGTAAACATACTCACCTCCATTTTATCAAAACTCTCTTTCTTCATCATAGAGAGAGATAGAATGAGAGAGAGAGAGAGAGAGACTCACCTCCATTGTATCAAAATGATCTTTCTTTATCATATTCGCCAACATTGCAAACATGGACAGCGTCAAGAAAGCGCCCACCACCTGCCTCGGATCCACAGCCATTTCCAAATCCCAAAACCAAAACCCCACCTCTTTCTCTCTCTAAAACTCTCTCTATCTAGCCAGATCCAGGCATTTTAAACCAGATCACACCTCGCTCTCCACACACTCTCTCTCTCTCTAACCAGCTATACAAATGGTACAGGACAAGTGACACCTCACTTCAATGGAGCCCAGAAAACCCAAAAAAACCCTAATTTTACTCTCCATTAAAATGCGTTTATTTTTAGCTCAAATGGTTCTTTTACAGGTTGCAGAGTCATTGTAGGACTCGCTTCCTTAGTTGTTTATTGCATCGACACCTCAGTAGGAAAACGATAGAGCTCCTTGATTCGCGTTAAAATGGTCTTTTTCGCACTTTTGATTTGGGGGGCAATAGACTCGACTAGACGCACAATTCAACGCGTAGAACCGAATTCGGGCCCTGGTATGGTTCTAATTTTAGGACCCGATAAATTAGGTCCGACCATAGTTAGCAAGTTGCCCATTTAAAGGCGACTTTTTCTAAAAGGCCGCGTTTTTTTTTTTTTGAAAAATGATTTAATCTGGGACTTTTTTAATAGATCGGTAAAAATATGCAATTTTTTCAGGAAAAAGTTTAAAACGTGATTTTTTCAAATTTTCAAAAAATCGTTTCAAAAAATCTTTCCTATTAATATACTCTGTTTATTTATTTGGAAAGAGATAAAATCTTTCTTATTAATATACTCTGATTATTATTTTTGGAAAGTTCAATATTTCTTTCCTGTTTTATGAAATTTCTAGTTCTATTTCTACTCTTCTAAATATCTCTGCTATTGATAGGGTGAGTATTTTTGCGAGTGTTTATGGGTATATGGGATAGACAATTCCTTTCTAATACTTATCATGACGAATAGAATAGATAATCATATTATGATTTAGAGAGATAATTATCTTATTTTTTCGGAAAGTTCAATAACTCTTTCTTGTTTTATGAAATTCCTATTGCTATTTATATTTCTATTCTTCTAAATTTTATGAAATTTTTGATTTCGATGTCTATTCTCTTAAAATTTTTTTCGGTTCTCTGCAACTGTTATGGTGTATAGGTTTTTGGGTGTTTATGGGTATATGGGATATAGACAATTCCTTTTTAAAAAGATGAAAATTGAATTCACCTACCCAATACTTATCATGACGAATAGAATAGATAATCATCTTATGATTTAGAGAGAATCGTTTTATTTTTTTGGAAAGTTCAATATCTCTTTCCTATTTTATGAAATTTCTATTTCTATTTCTATTCTCCTAAATTTTATGAAATTTCTATTCTCCTAAAACTTTCTCTGGTTCTCCGCTATTGATATGGTGTGCATTTTTTCGGGTGTTTATGGATATATGGGATAGACAATTCCTTTCTAAGAAGATGAAAATTGAATTCACCTACCCAATACTTATCATAACGAATAGAATAGATAATCATCTTATGATTTAGAGAGATAATCATCTCATTTTTTTTGGAAAGTTCAATATCTCTTTTCAGTTTTATGAAATTTTTATTTCTATTTCTATTCTCCTAAATTTTATGAAATTTCTATTTCTATTTCTATTCTCCTAAAACTTTATCAGGTTCTCCGCCATTGATATGGTGTATATTTTTTCGAGTGTTTATGGGTATATGGGATAGACAATTCCTTTCTAAAAAGATGAAAATTGAATTCACCTACCCAATACTTATCATGACGAATATAATAGATAATCATCTTATGATTTAGAGAGATAATCATCTTATTTTTTTGGAAAGTTCAATAGCTCTTTCTTGTTTTATGAAATTTCTATTTCTATTCTCCTAAATTTTATGAAATTTTTATTTCTATTTCTATTCTCCTAAAACTTTCTCTGGTTTTCTGCTATTGATATGGTGTGTATTTTTTCAAGTGTTTATGGGTATATGGAATAGACAATTCCTTTCTAAAAAGATGAAAATTGAATTAACCCAATATTTATCATGACGAATAGAATAGATAATCTTCTTATAATTTAGAGAGATGAGTTTTTGTTCGAGATGATCAATTTGAAGATGTTTGGACATCAAAATAACCTCTTCTTTTTGTTCAAGATGATCAATCTGAAGATGTTTGGACATCAAAATAACCTCTTCTAGTGAATTTTAGAAGTAGGCTCAAATTTGTTTGTTTAGAGCCTCGGCTCTATGAAAACTTTTCCGTACTTCAAATGACTTGGATGCCCTTACTTTCTGAGTGGACCATTTTGCCCCATGATTGGTTTTTTACTTTTTATTTATTGGTGGCCCTTTCCTGTGCACAAATTATATTCCCCAAATGGGGGCATCATGAGCAAGATGTGGAGCGTGCCTGAAGTCATGATTTTCTACAATTTAGAAAACCACAATTTTCTATAGTCATTATATTTTTTAGAAAATAAATGTCGATGAATTATGAATGTTGAAAAGTTTTTGCAAGGGCTAATGCGGTCTTTGCGGTTTTCAATGGTTTTAGGACTCAAACACATCCTAAATCACTGGAAGTCTATTTTAGTTCATAATATATGAAATTTGACCTATAAAAATATAAAAAATCTGATGAGATTCAATACTTACTTTCACTCGATTTTCAGCTTAGACCCAAGTGAAGAGAAGTGCATCAGCTTCAGCTTGCTACGAGCCGCTTCCGTCTGATTCGGCCTCTTCGACTAAATATTAGACTTCTTTGGCCGAAGTACAAAATTGTATTTTTTTAATACAATTATGTGTTTCGGACTAATTCGGTCTAATTTGGAAATATAGGTCGAAGCACATGATTATCTTTATTATTAATTTATTATTATTATTTGAATTTTTAAATTAATTTTTTTTATAATTTTAATATATTTTTATATATGAATATATACAGTATTTATATTATATTTTAAAAAAAATTCCGAAATCTTCCTCTGATCGGCCGATACACCGAATTGCTTTATGAACTTGGAGCAGTTGCTTTATGAACTTGGAGCAGAATCAAGCAGATATTCTAGCTAAAACGACCATCTTTCTTGGCTTTGTTTCTTGAGTCATAGAGTTTTTTACTTGTCCCTTGCTCTTTTCTCACTAGAATTTTCTTTTTTCTTTGGCCTTTTATTTTGTTTGTTTGTTCCATTTCATTCTCAATGAAGCTCTAGTTAACGTCAAAAAAAAAAAAAAAGATTTGATGATATTTATCCAAAAATATTACAAAAGTTATTATTTTAAAGGCTCTTATATTTTATTTTATTTCTAGAGTTATTATGGTGCTGTTAGTGGAAACAATAAATATGTGAAATTTTCGATCCAAAATCCATCTTAATATGCCCATTCTGATCCAATATCTTCCGATATGGAAAATGCCCTTTTTTCTTTTAAATTTAATATTTTTGCGATCTTGAAGGAACTCTTTGCTCTTAATAGATACTATGATTTTGATGATGATTAAGGCCCACATTATTCTATTTTTTATTTATGGTTAACATGAAAAAGGTCATTTTTTACACTCAAGGACTTCTTTAGATTTAAAATATCAAAAGTTTTTATTTATGGTTAACATGAAAAAGGTCATTTTTTACACTCAGGGACTTCTTTAGATTTAAAATATCAAAAGTTAAAGGATGTTTTATTTTTGCTTTTTTTTTAAAAAAGGAGAAATCTAATCTCGATTCACAAGTCATTTATGATGTGCTTTAAATGGAGTGAGTATAGCATTCTCACATGGGAGCATACTATACATTAACTCCCTAGGTAAAAGAGATGCTTTGGATTTTATTTTATTTTTCAAATTTTTGGGATCTAACTACGGAAAACCAAATGATTATTTTCACAAGAACAAGAAGAAAAAAAGTGGATTTTGAGTCCTTCAATACGTAGATCTCATTGGGTTCTCCTTGCTAAATCTCAAGTTCTTATCTTTTTTAAGCATATAGATCATTCAATCTAAAAAAAAAAAAATTGAGGTTGGTTGCTACAGTCTAGAAATATACCTACCTTCATAAATCTTTTCGGGAGGTTGGTTACATGTCCTAAAAATATACCTAGCTTCAGAATACCCAAGAGAGTAAATGAGCAGTATGCACCTACAGGATTATCATATCTTTTGGCTTAATTGAACTCACCTTCTCTCTTGTGCAAACCTTCACTTCTACATGCACATAAACACAATAACATAAGCTTGTATATTTATTGCAATATTGGTTAGGTATAGCGCTAAAGGTTTTAACCATTCTTAGTCATTTGATGTGAAATCTTTAAGAGCATAGTCAATAACGAACTCAACCATCTGATTTCATACCTAATGGCTAAAGGGGGGTTGTAACATTCTTGTATCAATCAGGAGAAAGCTATATGAATTTGAAAAACCAGGTTTTTCTCCTTGTTGTCCTAGTTACCAAATATGATTGGATAGTATTCATGCTCCTCCATTTTGGGGGCCTTGGGAGCATTTGTTTCGCTCTAAATTGGGGCACAAATCCTCTTGGTGTTAAAGAAGAAGATCGTAAAATTAAAATTTTCAAAAAATCGAGGATAAAGAAGATGTAGTAGTATCAATTAAAATATTGGTGCTACATCGAGGCTCTAGAGTGATTGTTTTTAATGAAACTATTTATCTTTGGTACAAAGTGGTCATAATTAACCTTGACATTTGGATGTGAAATTAGACGGTCGTATTTATTTCATTGACCAAGCTCAAACTTCAAAAGAAATTTTTTCAAACTTTGTGACACAATTAAACTATCAGATTTCACATTGCATGGTTGTAAGCAATTGTGACCTCCTTATATCAAACATAAATGGTCTCATTGTATACAATTGTCGGGTTTATGTGGCCATTAAAGGCCTTATAAAAGCACACAATCAGCATTTGATATAGTGAAACAAAAACTCTAGTGAGACTGTGGTCTTGAGAGACCAAGAGAATATCATCCTAAAGGACCAAGAGAATATAATCCTAAAGGACCAAGAGATTATAATCTAAAGGGACCGAGATAGGCAAATGTTATTTGCCGATAATCAAACTTGACTTGATATGCTACCTTTGTTACTTGGACATAAAATAAAAACTGAAGAGGGTTTTATGGGTTACCCCTTGATGAGGTCAGAGTTGCCTCGGTGTATGAGTGAAGTGACTATGTGACCATTGCGTGTGATGATTGGCCTTTAGAAACAAGGGCCAAAGCCTCATCATTGAACCATCACATGACATGTACATATGAAAGTCATATCGAAAAAGCGAGTCACCATTGCGGGTGAAACACGTACATACACGAGAGATTACCCCTATGCACTATAGAGCTGTGGTTGCATCAGGTTTATCGGACTTTAGACTCGTCTCTAAGGGAAATCTTACAATCCGTATACTGGGATTGTGTCCTCTTGCCCATTGGCTGACCTTGGTAGCCCAATCATGAACCCATGCCATAGTTTATGGATCATGGGAATGCTGGGTCA